CCTCTAAACTTCTTAGCTACACTGTCTGATAACCTCTAAACTTCTTATATGGAAAGTGAGTGCAGTAACAAATATTTTAGAGAAATCACAGAGGCAGCTTATGTACTCTGCACATGTGATACATAATTATAGTTTATTTTGGTAAAGAAGAATTAAAAGATAAACAAATACGTTAGAACTCGCTAGCAACTGTACCGGTATGCATAATCATGTAAGATTTTTTTAAAAAATCACGAAACAACCTAGCCTTTTTATTCTATGACCACGTGATTTTTCACTGTGCTTTGTCAAAAACCACTACGATTTTAGCTAAAGTAACCATCATGAATATGAAGGTTGCAAGATTTCAGTAAATTTCCCAAAGTTTCTGATGTTTAAATGATAAGCAAAATACAATAACATCAATGAAAATTTTCAAGTTGTTATTATTAAACACTTGCATTAAGATTATGTCAGTTAGTGTGTTCCACAATAGATAAATAACCAATGGTGAGGTGACGTAGGACTACGACTACTCATGCCGTAAAACAAACAAACAAAAACAGTAGATTAGAAAAAAAGACCAGCAATAATTAATTAGATTCACAAACTCATTTATAGTGGAGAAAGAAACAAACGTTTTTTTTTATCTTGAAACTTTTACGCTTAGACATTTAAAGAAAGTAACCTGTTTTTCATTTTGTTCCATAAACTGCCGAGGAACATAATAGCACTGGATTTCATTATAACAGAATCTGTCTCTATAACTAATAAAAAAAAAGTTTCTGTAGTCAGAATTCTGTTCATGTTATTATGTATAAGTTACAGAAACCTTGACCGTTCTATCAGAGTGAAGTTTAGCGTTATAAACCTTCAAGTTTACCGCAGGAGGGGTGGGGTTATCTTATAAGACTAGACCTGTACCAACATGAACTGAAACTATTATGGTATATTAAGCCATCACAATAAAGTTGATAATAATTTTAATATATCTTTCTTTACTAACCCTATATGAGTTTCTGGTATGAAGACCATAACAGAATCCAGACTGTATACCTTGTGTGCTGTATGCAGCTGTCTGGCAAGCCCCCCTGCTGAGCTCAAGTATTGAACGAAAGGCCTCACTGGTAAAGGTCGAGATACTATTATGTTGTTCTTACATAAAATATTATTTTCAGTCTTCTTGTGACTTAATGATACACAAACAACAGAGGAGCTGTAAGTGTTTAGCGAATTAGTTTAGAGCACAAATTGGTAACACAATTTTAGGGTTAAGTAATGGTAGATATGCAGAAATCCGATGTATTTCTTTCTTTATGATTTTTTATTCCATTTCTGTAAATTTCAACAGACTGAATCTTTTTTGTCTAGTTATAGCACCCTGTTATAAGTATCCAGGAAAGTTTACATTTTTACGAAATATCATAACTTGTCGTCTGTATTATCAACAGTTTTGACAATATGATAAACTTTATTAGAAACAATATTTTATAAACAACAATTAAATCTCATCCGGTTCAAATATATCTAAAGCATGTTAAGCTTATCAAAATACGACAGGCAACATCGTTATACAACTGTTGTAACGAGGATGCACATTTCATATAATATGTGAAATGCGTGTGGTATATTTGGAACTGCGCATAATATATTAACTAGTTTGTTATTCAATTTTACTATTGGTGCTGCCATCTTGTAGTGGAAATTTAAAGAAATTTGTGAAATTGTCTTTTGTTTCACTGAAAAGCTACACGACTATTTTCGTTGTGTCTGCTGCAGATATCGAATCCTGATTTTTAGCGTTATAACTCCTCAAGCTTATCGTTAAGCTATAGGGGATACATTCACTGAAGAAGTACATTTCATATGATAAACCACATCTATCTATATATATATATATTTATGGATTCGTGGCATTATGATTACAAAATATCAATGTTTTTAATTAGCCAAAACACGCTGAATATCTAGAGCATTTGTTACTTTTCAGATAACTCAACGATGTGTGTTTTCTTATAGCAAAGCTACAGCGGGCTATCTGCTGTGTCCACCGTGAAGAATCGAACCCCTGATTTTAGCGATGTAAGTCTGAAGACTTACCGCTGTCCCACTCGTCTATAAAAGCTCAAAAAAATTATCCTGGTTTTGCGAAAAAATAGGTTTTAGAAAGATTGTTAATCACCGTCTAACGTTTTTATTCTAAGGTCAATTTTTATGTTTGAAAGAAAGGTATATATGTATATATATAATCTCTCAATCTTTTTTAAATAACAAGCATGGAATAATTTATTGTAATATATAACACCAAAATTCCAGTGTTCTATATTAGTGAGTATGTAAACTTGTCTTTAATAATGTTAAAAATAATCAAGTAATAAAACCTATGTTTCGCTGGACCTATTTAGCGCCATTAATAGAACAAAGTAGCTTTTCAAAAACGTCTCTATTGAACTTAAGATATTTGGTAATGGTAATTTGGAATATACTTAGCGAACTTGTATAATAAACTTAAGTAGAAAATCTCTACGGAATACATTGGTTATAGTGTGGAAGAAAGGTCGATGTATATCAAACCTTCATTTGCTTGCGTGTGTTCTTATTATTAAACAAAATACGTCTTCTGTAAACTGCATGTTTCCTTGTTTAAAAGGTGACTTAGGTTGTGTAATAATTCATTTTGGATAATGTAACGAGTTTCATCCATATGCAATAACTTTGAAATGACATTTCTTATTTCGAAAAATGAGGGAAGTAACTTGTTACAATAACCAAAATGAAGCATGCCTACGGTTACTTTCGAAATGGGACCGAACTATTCTTATCTTTTTAAACAAATCTAAACACTGTACATCATATTAAGAACAGCACGTTTATGTCTGTTTTAGATTAAGAAAGATAAGCAGTCGAAAAGTGGTAAAATTATTTTTCTTTTCCTTGCTGAAAAGGCAAAACATATAGTAAATAAAAGGAGCTCCACCACAAAAGGAAATTCCACTGGTATACATTAATATGGACTAGGGATTTATGCCAACAGTTCCACATAAAGTAATATTTCTATGAATATTTTTGTGATAATTTTAATTATGAATTGCTCTCCACAGCCATTTGGTTAAAGTTGATGACTTAAGGGTCTAGGGTTTATTACGTATTAGAATTTCTAATGGTCTGAAACCGAGCTAAATGATACTTCAAATTTAATAGTTAAATTGTACTTTGGATATAGAAGTTAAGTAAAAGCCGATATATAATCAGTTTAAATTATTTTCCAACAAAATTGATACACACAGTTTTCTTTTATACAAATATATTTTAATATACAAACAATAGTACAATTTACAATAACAGTTATTACAAACAACGATTTATATATAATAGTTTTATAAACTTACAAGCAATATAAAGTCTTCTTTCTAGTCTGGAACTTCCTTGATATCTTATCGAGGGTTCGCGATGAGCGAGTTAATTTAGAGTTGACGTAGGTATAATTTATTTAACAGGGAGCTAGCTAGATTTGTCCTTCGTTATTCAACAGTCACACATGCCGAGGTTTCCACCGTTGAAGTTAGGTAATGTTTTCGTAAAAGTACTAATGTCCGATGAGAATTCACTCAAGTTAAATGATTTGTAATGTTCGAACTTTGTAAATGCTCCTGGTAAAATATCTGAAGTTTTCCGATTGATAAGCGTTATAACAATCACAGTTATAGCTTCCGAAACTTATAGCAAACCAATAATAGATACTCCTGTTTTGGCGCCTCGCGATGGTTATGTTTATAGGCGTGTGGAGAGTTTCTATAAAATTCAGATTACGTAACAATACAAAGCTACATTAAGCGTTTACATACATACATATATTGTTGATTCTTGCACTCGAGAATCTTCTACAACTTTAGAGAATAGGCGGAAGTTTCGCAATACATATTTAACTGTATAAGTTGTGTACACTTCTAAATATAAATTTAATTCAAGCAAACATCGATATTAAAATAAATATATAATAATAAATCCGTCATAGGGTTCAATACAACATACACGTTTACAGTTTCACCTGTCGGGTGGAGTTAGCAACTGACAGTTTTTAATTAATTCGAAAGTAATGTATCATGTTAAAATAAATTACATTTGTTACGAATTAGGAAAAATAAGCTTTCAAAGAGAGGTAAAAATTCTGTTGTTTTATCGTTTATCTTCTCGCTCTTCTCATTATCAACGTCAGAATCTTTAGTTGAACTAATGCTGTGTGTTTGTGTTTTAATAAACATTCTCTAGAAAATAGTTTTACTAAACAAACAACATATGTAATAAACAATCTGATCATTTTGTATAAAATCATTTAACATTTTTAAACGTAGAAAAACTTTATTGAAGATTGCTTAATAGGACTCATAAATGCACAAAAAGTATTAACTTCCATGCACAAAATATCCAGAGACACGGTAGTGAGACCAGCCAAGTTATTAGAAGAAAGGCAAGTGTAACATTTACTGTTACTGTATATACAGGGACAAACTTTTAGACAAACCTGGGGTATTGCCACAACTCTTCCTTATGCTGGAAAGTCACTATTCTTATGTGTCTAAACATATCTATACACTTTTAAGTTATTTTGAAAGCAAGAACCTCATATCTACTTCAGATTAAGATATATGAGATTTCAACAAGTGTTACAATTATTGTTCTACATTTAGTTCTACTTCTTGTTGTAGAAGAAAATCATAATGTAAACAAAGTGTAGATGTCATAAACACATATCACACAGGCAGATATTGATCTCAACTAGGGAACCTAGCCAATGTGAAATCTGTAACATATATAATCATTAAAAGAAAATGACTTTAGCCTTCAGGAATGGACGAAAAACTAAAGTCAAAGGGTGTTCTGGTAGGCAAAGACTAAGTATTCATGTTACACTGTCATTTGACAGTAAGGGCTGAAATTTCACTTTAGCTTTGATTTTTATTTTAGCCCCTTTAAAATCATGTAACGTAAAAGCTGTATCAATAGAAAGAATAATTTTTAAATTATTGTGGATGTATATTTATATATATATATATATAAAGACTAAGAAACTTTCATTAAATTCAAGTTTTGCGTTTCTAAAAATTGTGATCAAAACAAAAAGCACATAATAAAGTAGGTAAGTTAAACAGGATAAAATGGGAAATGGTCGTCCCCTTTCTAAATGCAACTGAAAAAAAGCATCAAAATGAATATAAATAAGCATGACAGCGTTTAAAAGTTTTCAAGCAATCTCGAAAATTTTGTTTTTCTTCACAACCTCTTGTCACAGTGTAAACAAATATTATTTCATAAAGGCTGTCGATAACAATGTATATTTCACTTGAGTGACTTAAGATTATGGCAATAGAAACTTATCCTTCTTTTTGCAAATACACATACGTATTTAGAAATTGATGATGGCGAATTAGAAGTTATGACTTGTAAGTTTCAACCTAAAGAACGTCAGCTTAAAGATACTTGGGGCAACGTGTTTCCGAGCGTTGGACTCGTAGTCGGATGGTGGCGAGTTCAAGGTTGGCTGGCCTGCGTCATGGGGCTGTGTTCTTGAACAAGACACCCTATTTGTTCCAGTTTAGCCTGCTGAGGGCTAATCTGTGATGGACTCACATTCCGTCCAGTAGTAATGGGTCACCATTTTCATCTTCTTGTACGATTGGAACCATAATTCGGAAGCACTGACCTTATGTGCCTCACAAAGACACATCAAGGATTTGTTTATTATTTGTTTGAACTACTAGCCAGAACGTAGACAACCAGCTAGCAACACCCACCACAATGAGCTTTGTCTGGCTCTTTGAACAGAATAAAGAGAGTAGCTGCAATTTTCATAATGTGTCCACTTTATGTCTCGATATCGTTCATCCGAAGCCCGATATGTTTACTAATAGGTCACGTCCAACCTTACAAGTTATGTGTAGTGACTGAAATGTATTTTTAAATCACACTAAACCTAATGGTGTACTTTTTAGAGAAAATTTCTCAATTTCCCGTGAACCATATTTATTTGACGCAAAGCTGTTGCTATTATCTTAATGCAAAGCTATATAATGAGCTATCTTAGATATATTGCTATGTCCACGAGAGTATTCAGAATATAAAGTTCTCATTTCCTTAACAGTAAACCGGTCGTGTCAGATTACAACTAACAAATACACACCAACAATAATCGTTATGTATTATGCATTTCCTCAGTCAACCGACAAAATGTGTTTTCCAAGAAGACCATTCTTAAGACGGCCGGAAATGATACAAGTCACAGAGTGCTAGGTCTGACCTATATGTGGAATGAAGGACTCTCCATCAGAAGTTCTTAGTTACATTCCTTACATAACGAGATATATCAGCGCTAGTATTATCATGAGTTTTCAGCAACGGAAGGACGCTGAACATTATTAACACTATCATTCATTAGCTGAAATTTACAGGTATCTAGCTTATGGGACCCATTTCCTTTTAATTAAGTATTATATCAGGTATTTGTTTCTTTCAAATGTTTCATTACTTCTCTTGGTTTGAGCTGTTTTCACACTTAGTAGATATTTTTTGTTGTTGTTGTTGTTGTTTTTATAGGAGCTTTTTATATTAAGAAAACAACTTAAGTATGAAACATTATCCATACCAGGACCGGTTGAATGCTGTAGTTTCAGGCTATATTAGTTTACATCAGTTGGGCTAGATTGATGATAGGGAACTTTGTCCAACTGAGCTGCAACATGATGAAACTTCTGTTTATATACATATATTTGTGTTCTTTCGTAGGGAAAGAATTTTAGAGGTTATTAGACAGTGTAGCTAAGAATTTTAGAGGTTATCAGACAGTGTAGCTAAGAATTTTAGAGATTATCAGACACTGTAGCTAAGAAGTTTAGAGGTTATCAGACAGTGTAGCTAAGAAGTTTAGAGGTTATCAGACAGTGTAGCTGAGAAGTTTAGCGATTATCAGACAGTGTAGCAAATCACACTAACTATGGAAAGTGAGTGCAGTAACAAATATTTTAGATAAATCACACTAAGTATGGAAAGTGAGTGCAGTAACAAATATTTTAGATAAATCACACTAACTGATTATATATTTTGCATTTGGACTGCTGACACCCAGTCTCTCAGTGACTGTCATATGCAAAATCTTTCACCAATGAGCAAAATTCATACTTGAATATTCTCCTATACAAACATGTTTTTTTACTGTCACTGCATTCTTAAAATATGACTATTACATACTGACTTGTTCAAAAAACCAGAGGCAGGCCACAGTAGTTCCATTACCAAAACTGTCATCCAGTCCACATCAAATCCAAAGTTACTTATAGAGAAGCCCTTTGCATGAAAAAGATCTACACTAACAGTGATGGTTGCAAAACACATATACACTAAAATGAAAATATAACCATGAAAGAAAGAGGTTAAAAAGTTTTTGGAATAGCAAAACTAATTGAAAAAGCTGACAAAATGTATTTTTTGTTACCTTCAATCAGTCTGGCTCAAGCAATCTAACAAAGTATATCTGGGTATCACAAATTATCCAAAACATTAAAAATATGCTTTAACATTCCTTTAAAAACATTTCCGTCCTCTCAGCTCTGTAAATGTCTAAATATCTGCTGTTTCCTTAAGAAAAACAAAAGTCTTGAAAATATATTTGTTCACGCGAAAGTCAATTATACACGCCACAGAATGGCTGCTCCTCTTGTCACAAAGTTCAATACCAGACTTGTAAGTTTGTAAAACTATCAGTACGTGTTCTGGCCAACAAGAAATAAACCACTATAGTATAAAAAAAATAATATCTTGTCATCTTAAAAACTCGATATATCTTATAAAGCACAAAACATACAATCACCAGTGTATTGGGCAAACCCAGACTATCCTTAAAGAACAGTTTAATAACCAAAAATTTTCTATCAAGACTAAAAAATACCTTCCTGTTACCCTACAATTTAAGCAGCTCGACCATTACATCAATGACATGGTTCTCATTTGTTTTAAATGCTTTACTAATATTTCACTCTCTTGCAGTTCCTACATCATTAAGTGCATTTTTGATAAATTTCCCAATTGTTCTTGACATTAGCTCTTGTACGATTCTAACAAGGTGTTTCAAATCCACTTTTTATTTTTGTTTCCCATCACTTACACATACACACCCATTGCTATTTCACATTTAAGGTCTTATTCTTAGAAACACGTGGTGTGTCACTTCCGGTACAATGACTACATAACTGATCAACGTGCTTGCAATGGTCATTTGTCATTTACCCATATGAAGGAAAATCTGTTTTCCGTTCAGGTTATTGGAATTCTTTTCTGATAACAGATAAAGAAATATTTTCTCCAAGATTTAGAAATGTACCTCCTGACGTTATGTGCAAATAATATGTTGTTCTGATTTTTTTGCTGAATTGATAATATTATACAGACTGCTTTTCTTTTTTTATGTTAATTAAAAAACTTGTCTTTCAGATGAGTGTGTCCTATGCTACATAAAATATAATTATTTATAACACTAAACAACAGGTGTATGCCTTTTATTAACTATGCTATCGTTGTCGGTATCAATTTTGAATTTAATATGAAATAAAGTTCAAGTTGGTTTTGGGTTCAATTTTGTACTGGTAAGCGTGTCTGATTGTGAATCGGAGGCTCCAGGGTTCCAGTTGCTTCATACTTTCAGCTGAATCTTTGAGTGTCTGACAAAGGTAAGTTTACGAGCTTTTCAACGCTAAAAATTGGAGTTCGATCCCATCGAAGGATAAAGTTTTCAAAAAAGGTTTAGTATAAAGTGTCAATGAAGTCGGAAATACGCAGTATTAGTATTTTGCTTCATGTAATTGAATAAAACTTTTTCACAAATGTTTTTAAATATTTTATAAATATTAGCTGCAAATGTTTTTTTTTTTTACAAGTACTTTTAAAATCATGATAGTGGTAAAATAAGTGAAATTTAATTTATCTGTTGAAATTCATTAGAGATAAAATTCATTACACAAAATATACGCAATACCCCTTTACAATTGACGTCTAATATGACAATATTTTGAACGTAATGCTTAATTGAACAATTTATTTATCCTTTTGGTATATTTTTCAACATTTCTGTAAGTTTTTAAATTATGAAATCTTGAATATTTCAACTGCTCTTATTTTGAATTGCTCCCTATAGCTACCACTCCATTCCGTTCCATTAAAGCTGCAACTGTTTAACTGTTTGTTTCATCATAAAGCTACACAGTAGGCTATCTGCGCTTTTCCACCACTGGGAATCGAACCCCGGATTTTAGCTCTGTAAGTCTTTAAACTTACCGTTGACCCACCGGGTGACTTAACGCTGCAACCCTGTGATTGTTAAAACTAATGAACTGTGCACAAAAGTACATCTACATTCCCATACATGTATTCACAATTTATATATACATACTTGCAAAAACAACAAAAATTTGTAGTGACTATATTTTCCAAATTTGTATGAATTAATCATATTTTTATGTAAAAAAATTGACGTCTTTTGTATCCGACTGAAATTTAAATTACAGGTTTTATGAAGAAAAATTGTATTTCCGTGACTCCTATTAAAACGCAGCAAAGCTGCATGCTTCTCTATCATTTTAATTTCTTGGATATATGTAAACGACTAAATTTCATATCTGTTTTTTAGTTTCACTTAAAACCGAAATGGTGAACATTCAAAATATTCAAAAGTTTAAAAAACACATTATTATGTTTCTACTTTGCTTGCTTCTCCGTTTAGCATAATTACATACTTCTGAAAAATCCAAATAAATTCGATACTACGAGCTTGTGTTTCAATGTGCTCATTCCGTTCAGTAGCTCGAAATTGGAAGCGGGAGCAGATGGCCTCAGTAGCTTTGTTGTAAATACAAATTACAAATTCAGAAGGTGAAAATACTAATTTTAAATATAACTATGCCTTCGTTCTTTCTCATCAGTTATACTTTAACCTTGCCCATAGAATTTTCAAAATTCTTTACTACAAACTTTCTATATTATTATAGTCATGCAAAATAAATGCAATATTAAATTATTTTTTAATAAAATATTTCTGTGAAAGTCATAGAGTTGCGTTTTCCAAAGTTCTTCTATTTTTTTTATTATGTTAGCATTAAGGTTGAAACTACAATTGTACATTTACCTTTAATCTATGTATTCTATTTCCATGATATTATGTTCTATAAATGCAATGTTACTTAAGTAACAAATAGCGTGAATAAATTTGTAGCAACTTTTTATCTAAAGTGTTTTCATAGCAGTTCAGGAAAAACCATGGCCATTATTCCCTTATGTGACAAATTTATAATTATATATATTTATTTTAATTTCAACATTTGTTTAGATTAAGCTTATATTTAAAAACATGCATAACTTATAGTGCTAAATATGTATTGCGAAACTCCCGCCTTTTCCACAAAGTTATAGAAGATTCTCGAGAGTAAGAAGCAACAATATATGTGTGTACGTAACCGCTTGTGTTAGCATCAGTATTGTTAGGTAAAACTGAAAATTCGAGAAAGCTCCCACACGCCTATAGATATAACCAACGCGACGCGCCAAAAATAAGAGTATCTATTGTTAGTTTGCTATAGTCAGTGTGCTATAAACTTCGGAAGCTATAACTGTGATTTTTATAACGCTTATCCATCGGAAAACTTCAGATATTTGACCAGGAATCTTTACAAAGTTCGAACATTACAAATCATTTAAGTTCAGTGGATTCTCATCCGACATCAGTACTTTTACGAAAACATTACCTAACTTCAACGGTGGAAAACTCGGCGTGTGTGACTGTTGAATAACGAAGGACAAAGCTAGCTAGCTCCCTGTTAAGTGAATTATTCCTACGTCAACTCGTAATTAAATCGCTCATCGTGAACCCTCGATATCGAAGAAGTTCCAGACTAGAAAGAAGACTTTATATTGCTTATAAGTTTGTGAAAATTTTGTATATAAATCATAGTTATAACTATGTAATAACTGTTATTTTAAATTGTATTATTGTTTGTATATTAAAATATATTTGTATAAAAGAAAACTGTGTGTATCAATTTTGTTGGCAAATATCATAAACTGACTATATATATCGGCTTTTACTTAACTGCTAAATCCAAAGTACAATTAAATAACTAAATTTAAATTATCAGTTAACTCGGTTTCAGACCATTTGAAATTCTAATACGTAACACATGCTCGTTTACAAGGTACACAGGCTTATTCTATAATTTTATGAGGTGTATTATTACATGTTATATTTTAATATTGGTTAAATTTCTATTTCCAAAACATAGTAATTTAATAAGAAATATTATCATTTGACTTTTTTTTCTGATAAAGCTAAAATTACAGCTGAAACGCTTTAAATACTGCATAAAAATATCGTCATTAGCCGTTATTTAGACAGTTCCAATCTACATAAAACACAGAATAAACTTATATGCTAATAAGAAAGAAAACTATAACTAAATTTAATAAACCACAAATTAATACACAAACTATGGCATGTGTCTAGCTAAACTTTTCTCCTTTAAATCTTTATATAAATGATATACAATTTATTCTTTTCATGACGGCATGTACCTGTTTACTGCTATCATTACAACAGCTATGTCGGTTGCTGGATTTTCTTATCGCATCACAGTCACCTGACAGATGTTTCTTTACATTCTGATTAATAACTAATTTTAGAAATTATATTTATATTGTAACACGTGCTATGTTTATCATGCACTATATGATACCAAATGATAAGCTGATGAACAATTACTGACCGAAAATACTGCCCAGTTGTTTAATGCAATGCTTGCTTGTGATGTAAGTGGTGTCGCTTTATTTTGCTGTTTCGCTCAACTGAGAAGAATATAAAGAGAAGATTATTCAGTTTACAGTAAGTATTAAATAACATAACATTCGCTTTACGATTTCTCAACTGAAATATTAGTTGCAGTCTCATTTTTTGTTGGTGTACTTTTAATATCTATGGATGTTGATGTACTGCATGAAATCCTCTTATCATAAATAGAGATGTTAAGTTATGTATGCGGAATGGTTTGTGTACTCTTAATACGTATGGATGTTAATGTACTGAGCAAAATCCTTTTATCATAATACAGAGTTGTTAATTTATGTCTACAGAATGATTGATGTACTCTTAATATGTATGGGTGTTGATATACTGCATGAAATCATTTTATAATGCAATATGGCTGGTAATTTATGTACGCGAAACGGTTTCTTGTCTTTTCAATCTCTCGTAGAACTAGAAATCTTCTGCTTTACAATCAAAAAGGCTCTTACAACAAGTCGGATTAGCTTTAGCTGTAATTAATGTGAAAAAAAAACACGGTTAAATCTTATTTGTGCAGAACATTAAATGAAATTATACCTGTCCGGCTTCCATAGACATACATAAAATTGTGATTTATTTAAAGAAAATAACTGTATAAGTAGAGTTTCATAATGTTCCGAGCCATTTATAAATTTGAAAAATAATTGTTGGTTTAACTTTAACTGTACCTACAAATCTTAGTGTAGCATTCTCTGAGAGTTTCAAATATTTCATCTTATTGACTCTTTTGGTGCACTTCAGCAATGGTTGCGCCACGGCTGCCCAGAAGAAGAGAACAGGAGAATGACACACAGAACATCTCTTCCATTGCATCTGAATCAACCCCACTGCTGGCCACACAACCACAAAAAGGCTGGTTGGAAAGATTCAAGCGACTACCTGGACCGGGAATTATTTGTGCAGCACTGTCGGGTCTCTTTTTCTCTATTGGGTCATTAACTGTAAAACTTATACCTTCCATGAACCCCTTGGAAATAGTTTTCTTTGGAGCTATAATACAAACTGTTATATTTATTAGTATCAATATACAATCCCGTCGGTCTATTTTGGGGGCATCTGGTGAGCGTTTCTTTCTTCTGATGCGAGGTATCAGTGGTGTAGTTTGTGCTAACCTCGTCTACTATTCCTATCGACTGATTCCTTTGGCTGATGCCACAACCATTGTATTCAGTGCACCGATTTTTGTTGCTATCTTTGCATGCATGTTATTGAAAGAAACGTGTAATTTGTTTTTTATTATAACTGTGATCACTACTATATCCGGCGTAATATTTATATCTAAGCCGCCATTCCTCTTTGACAGTGACCAAGAAAACGTGTCCAGCAGTAATAGAATCATTGGTATTAGCCTTGCTTTCGGAGGATGCTTGTCTTTTGCTTTGGTATATCTCTTCATGCGAAAACTTCAGCGGAGTCATTATTCTTCTATTACACTTGTTTTTTCTGTATTAGTAGTTATTGTTAACCCCATCTTATTAACACTTAGCGACAGTTGGTCAATTCCCGGATGTGAAAGAGACGGCTGGCTACTTGTTTTGTTAGGTTTTGCAGTTGTAGGTGCACAAATTTCTCAAATATTTGCCCTAAAAACGGAGAATGAAGGGCCAGTCTCTGTTGCCAGAAGTTCTGAAGTGTTTATGGCATTTATATTTCAAGCATCAATACTAGAGGAAAAAGTAGAGTGGACTAGTACAGTTGGAGGAATTCTTGTGTGCTCTGGTATCGGGCTTTTTGGATGGAGACAATGGAAAAAAGATAAATTATATCATAGAAGAAATATGTAACTTACTATAAAATAAAATTAAAACTTTCGTTATTTAAAAGAAATATTTTACACTTCAAAATTCTCGCCAGTTCTCTACTTCATGTTTACAACGTACTTTATTTTGTGGTACAACTGGCAATTACTTTTGAACCCATATAGACGAACACACATATACGATAGCAAGATTAAACAGATTAATTTCATAGCTTTACTATAGTTTTACCTCTTAAATAAACATACTGGGCAAGTGGCAAGTTTTTCTTTGTTTACATGCACCAGTCTAAGGCGAAATACTCGCTAAATTTCAGCACTAATTGAATTAAAGACAAATATTTAAAATGATCCTTAACAAGAAACATACATATATATATAAGGACACACATACCATTATTTCTAGCGTTTATGATAGATAATAAGCCTACTATCTTCGAATATTGTCTCTTGCGTAAGAGTGAAATACATTTGGGATTAGCATTTCTAAGTGAGGATTTCGAGATTATTACAAGTACATGATTGAAAAAATATATTAATTTACTCAAATAAGCTTACCTTTGTTAATGCGTTTAATCTTGTGATGTACATGAAATTTAATATAGCTCAATTTGTTTTTGTTATATCTCTGAAAAATCATGATTTTCATGTTAATGGTGTGTGAATTGATATTTATTTTAGTTACACTTTTTTTAATTTTTAAAGTATATCAATAATTATATCTTTATTTCAATATTTATGCTTGATGTTTTATATACACATGCGTGTATGCTTATGACGGTAGATGTGTGTGTGTATATTTCAGTATTATATAAATAAGAGACACGAAGTAGTTAATGGTTATTTCAAAAGAATAAATAAATACCTCCATCAACATTTACGTGTATATAGATATAATTATACAACATAAACGTTTTGACTCTGGTATACATTTTAATTTATAATATGACAATTTTTTCATTTTTATATTTGTATCTCAAAATATTATGATGAATTAAGAGAACTGTATTTTTCATGCTTTCCATTTTAGGAATATGATAATTTAGAAATGAGACTCGAATATACAACAGTTTTTATCACAAAATTCGATTATCAGTTAAACAAGGTTTAATTTGAGAATTTTGTGTTTTATGTTATTATAGCCAGACTTTGATCCAATCAATAGTTAATTTATTTTTTAAGTATTTTATTTAATTTTTTGGTTTACTATTAATTATTTTGCGGATTTAATCTGGGGAGTAGTCGAATGACGTTACGAAAGTGCTGTTTATTTTTTGTATTTTAAATTCGAAGTAAATAAGAAAATTCGAAATCGTGTTTTTCTTACATATTTATTTATTATTACTTGGACTGTTTTTTTTTAATTTTTGATATAAGTAATTGATCAAGTAACACGATAATTACGTCAATTTTAGAAATCTATGTGAACGAGAGCGTAATCCAACGGCATCTTCTTAACGTACTTGAAAATCTAGTAAAATATTACTCAATTTTTGTCTGTCCTGAAAATGCGCGCGCACTTCATTTCAACAGATGTATAGAAAAGACGGATGTAAGTTTACTTTAGTACACATTTTGTACAACAGCATATTAAAAGCTTATCAAATTTTTAAATAGGTCTAACGTTGGGTCGTATAATAACATTATAAGTTTATTTACTGGTAGTATTAAGTACGTTAAAATTTAACCCTAACCAAACAAAAGCAAAAAACGTACACAAGTTACAGTGTTAATTTATCCCTTTATCGAATATAGGCCCTACTTAATAAAGGCTTAACTAATGCTAGGCCTACGACAAGTGGACTCACAGATTTATGTGACTGTGATTAAAATTATTTTGTATTATTCTACAAGTCCTGTATTTAAAGAAATACTGTTGTAATAAAGACACTAATGTGACCGAAAGTATTTTGCGGTTCTCTACTGGTTTAAAATCATTTTTGTAGAACAAAATGGTTGCATATAAAGGACACATAAATATAATTATGTTATAAAGTACAATTAAAAGGTTAATAATAATAATATTAGATAAAGTTTATACTAAACAGTCGAAATGTTACAGTAAAAAATCATACAATAATACTATCAGTCTTTGTAGGGTAATATAAAAAATTATCGGGGTTATCACATACATAAACAAAAAATAGGGTATAGGTTATCTATATCTATGGCTTTATTGCAACATGTGTTTACACTCTTTTGTCAAACTCAAACTTTTGTTTGGTGTATTCTTTAACTAAGAATAATACATTATCTCACTCAGGGGTGAAATTCTGCCGGTACTCACCGGTACTGAGTACCGGAACTTATTTGAGTTGCTTTTTCGTTTTTTATGTTTATATTTATACATTTTTTTCCTTTTCAAAAACAGGTCCACTTCCCCCAGCTGAGTACCTTTACTTTTTTTTTAGAATATTGCCCCCGATCTCACTGGATTTATCGAAATAAGCTCATAAAGCAGTACTATGTCATCACTTATCGAAATAAGCTCATAAAGCAGTACTATGTCATCACTTATCGAAATACGCTCATAAAGCAGCACTATGTAATCATTTCTCGAAATAAGCTCATTAAGCAGCACTATGCCATCATTTCTCGAAATAAGCTCATAAACAGCACCATGTCATCATTTCTCGAAGGATAGCTTAAGATATTACAGTTGCTATCATGCTAAAGAAAACTTGATATCCTTTCTGTTGGTAAAAGAGTAGCTCAAGATGTGGCGGTGGGTAGTGTTGACTAGCTGCCTTCCCTCTAATCTATCACTACAAAATTAGAGATGACTAGCGCAGATGGCCCCCCCCAGTAGTTGTGCCCGAAAGTCAAAATAAACCGAACTAAATTTATATGTGTGTGTGTGTTGTTCAAACTCAAAATTTATGTGATAACATCTAAAACGTGCTCTCGAATTTTAATAGAAAGCGGAGTTTTTAATTCACGTTTTCATATTTTAAGAATTTTCAAATAAGAATTTAGATTTTGCAAAGTTCCTTCAAATCGTTTTGCCTGCAACATCAGACACAAGGTCGAGACAAGAAAACCATAGAAATTAGACATCAAAGTCAACCTTCGAAGTTTGTAGTAGTTGAAATTTTAACAATTATAAAAAACTTATAGTTAATTAAATAAATAATTTGTTTAAAAGAATATTCAAATACAATTTGTTGGCCAAAACTATTCAATCTCCATTGGAACCAAAAATTAAGGCGTTTTTCAGTAGGTCTTGTTAAGAACAAATTAACCTTAAGAAACAATTAAAGAGGATAAAGCTTCGAAAATATAAATTAGTAACTCTGCAGGTTTTTAGGTAAAATGTTTAAAATTTAATTTATTGAATTACATTTAGTGGTAGAAAAGCTTGAATATGTTAGCAAAGTACATTAAAGAAATAAAGTATGGATACTTTCTAAAAATCCCCATCACAAATTTGGCAAGTAAAGGTAGGTTATAATATCCATTTCCACAAAGGAAAAATAAAGAAAAGACTCTCATGGCAGGATAACATGAAACGACTATAAAGATACTCAGAGATAGCAACCTTTGCCCCGGAATGTTTTTGACTTTTGCAATAATCAAGCTAAAATATATAACGAATAATTCCTCATTCTCAAAGATGTAGATCTAGATGCCAAGACCTTCGTTCTATCTCAGTTTGTTGTCGAGTTTTGATCGTTTGCTACTATTATAGCAAAAGTGATTAACATTGATGTTTGAGCAACATTTACCAAGAATTAATCACTTTGTACTCGTGGGACAATCATCCTGTGTATCAAAGTTGTTAAATATCAAATGAAAACTTTTGGGTGACCTTGACCTTTGAGTTACTTTCACAAAAGTTATTTAGTTGGTCCTTGGGGACAAATCAGCTTATCTACCAAATTTGATCAAAATCAGATAAAAACTTGTTTTGTTATGTGGTTGTTTTTGAATGTGACCTTGACCTATGACCTACATTTACCAGAGGTTAAGAAAGTGGTCTTTTGAGGAAATTTGATTTTTGTTGCAAAGTTGACAAAACTTAGATGAAAACTTTTCGGTTTATATGGTTCATAGACAGAGAGAGAAGTGGAAAACAATACCCCCGCTGTCGGCTAGGAATAATAAAGTTTATTGAAAATGATATAAACTAAACAAGGTATCGTAGAAATGGACAAAAAAAAACATGTTTACAGTTAGTTAAATATATCTAATCAACTTAATAATTGAGAATAATGTTTATAAGCTAAAATCTACAACTACTCTGTGATGAAAGTTATCAGTGCACAACGAAATACCAATTAAAAAAAAAGAATAAATTGAAACAACAAATTAATAAATTGTTGAGCGTATAAATAAATAAATATATTTTCTGAATTGCAACATTTTCTAAAAATGTTCCCTTGACACAGAAAACGTTATCCAAAGTTATTTCAGTTTGTTTTGCCTGAGATGTCAGGTATAAGGTTGAGGCAAGAAAGTCATAGAACTGAAAAAATTTAAATCAACCTTCGAAATTAGTAGCATCTGAACTTATAGCTAATAGGATAAAGTTAAGGAATTTTTTTCTAAAAACGTTAAATAAAACTTGTTGGGCAAAACTATTCAGTCTCCATTGAAAGCAAATATTAAGATGTTTTTCTGAGGGTTTTGTTAAAAATTGATCTAAGGAGTTAATCAAGCCGGAGGAAGTTTTAAAAAAAAAGGTAAATTAAAACTCTGTAGCTTCTTAGAGCAAACTGTTTAAAATTTGAGTTGCCGAATTAAATTTAGTAGTAGAAAAGCTAGAATTTGTTAGCTAAGTGCCTTACCGATTAAATTGAAACAATAAAGAAACATATTATTTCAGTGTAGAAATAAACAAATTTGTTTCCTGTATGTTTACAGATTCTAAAAATGTTCACTTGATACATAAAACTTGTGAATGAAGATATGTGAAAAACAACTAAGTTGTATGTAATTCCTGATTTAGATACTACCTCGTGGTCTTTAGTATACTATAATAACCTTAAACTAAATTATGTATGGGTATAAAATACGTAAAATATAGAA